GATGTGTTTCCAGAGGGGACAAACATGTGGATCAAGACGTAGAACTCTCAGCTACCTCTCCAGCACTATGTCTGCCAGCACACCGCCATGTTTCCTGCCATGACGATAACAGACTAAAACTCTGAAACTGTAAGCCAGCTCCAATTAAATGTTTTCCTTTGTAAGAGTTGCTGTGGTCATGGTGCCTCTTCAGAGCAATAGAAACCCTAAGACAAGAGGCTTTCTTCAGTCAACTTAATAATGCATAGTATATAAGTGCTTTTCAGATGCCCACTGGCTAGCCACACCAGTCTTCTTAGGAAGTCTTCTAGCATATAGAGGGGGATAACGGGAACTGCCAAGTCTTACATACTAGAGAACCGGTGGCCTTGAGTGACTCATTTTAGAGGACTCTGTGTGTCTACACTAGAAGTTCAGAAGTGAAGGGGGCAGGGCCCTTAGTAACCAAACTGGGACTTTTTTTGCTCAAGCCAGATGTTTTCATTATAGAAGCAGATGAAAACAGTTAGAACTGATCTGGAGTCCTGAAGAAGTCCAGGGACACCTTCCAGTAGCGTGTGAGAGCTGGTGACTCAAAAGCCTCAGGTTTTTATCAATGGTGTTACAGCAGACGGATCTATCACAGTCCTCTGGGCCTCAGTTCTTTTGCAAATGGAAGCTTTCTTTGCCACACTTTGAAAGTGCCTTTTAAAGTAAGGCAATTTCTCAAATACACCCAAGAATATAGCAAAAGGCGGAAGTTAAGGAAAAGGTGGTGAAAGAGGTCCAGGTTGAAAACTTGTGGGAAACTGAGCTGGAAACTTTCTGACCGGTCTTGGTGGTGTACACCTTTAATCCCAGCACTTGGGAGGCACAGACAGGCAGATCTCTGTGAGTTGCAAGCCACCCTGTTCCCCAGAGTTCCAGGACAGCCTCCAAAGCAATACAGAGAAATCCCGTCTCTAAAAACAAAAACAAACAAAAAAGAAACTTTCTGAATCTACAGTGACGATTGGTCAAGACTCTACATAGTAGGCATGGTTTTATGAGCTTATGGGTTTCTGCTGCTTGAGAGAAAAGAAGGAACATGACCAGAACTCCAAACAGGGTTAAGGGTAGTTCAGGAAGCATCCACAGGCTAGCCACAGGCAGGCCACATCAGCATGCATGTCCGTTCTCTAAGACTGTTCTCCAGCCTTTCTCGTGTCTCTGGTTTCTTGACCTCCTTCATCTCCCTTCTCTTCGGTATGTTAGAATAAGATTCTGCTTCTTACAAGACCCTGAACTACACAAACACCAAAAGTGCTCCTGAAATTCCAAAACTGTTTCTTTCTGTCTCACAAATGTAATGCTCAAAAGTGTATACAGCCATGCAGCTAAGAGTGAACTTGGAGAAGACGGCTGTCTTTGCATATGGCGAAATGAATCCATAAGGAAAAACAGATGGCTCCTTGTTCTCACCCTGGGCCTCAATTCAGGAGCATAAATTTTCATGAGGAGACACTTCAACACCAAAACCAGATGCATTAATTCCTTTTATTTAATTGTTCTTAGAGAAAAAAAAATTGAGAACAGTGGTTGCCTATTAATGATCTCGTCTTCAACCATTCACACTCTTGTTTCAGGAACAAGCTGCTATCTGAAGTTATATCAAGAACTCACTCACCATCATACACACGAGGTAATACACATTCTTTCTTAGTAATCTCGGCCTTAGACCCAACCTCACCACAATAAACAATACCCTATGAAACCGGGTTAATATTCTTCAGATTCCATTAAGCGGTGTGCTTCCTATTCCTAAACATATACTTTAGATGTGAGAACACAGCTGAGCGGTGGTGACACACCCCTTTAATGCCATCACTCAGGAGGCAAAGGCAGGAGGATCTCTGTGAGTTTGAGGCTAGCCTGGTCTACAGAGCAAGTTCCAGAAAAGCTAAGGATACAGAGAGAAACCCTGTCTCAAAAAAAAAAAAAAAAAAAAAAAAAGGATGTGAGAACACTCAGGGAAAGACTTCTTTGAAATCAAAATGAGGACTAGCAAGATGGTAGGTCAAAGTGTATGCCATGTAAGTCTGGTAACTGAGGGCAACAATTATAACCTGAGGTGGAGGGAAAGAATCAACTCCTATAGGTTATCCTCTGACATTCATGTGTCTACCACGATGTAAGCATTGGTTTGATGTCTCCCCATCCCTATCCTCCCATTCTCTTAATCTAACTCACACATACACACCCTTACAATAAAAATTAAAAAGAAACAACATTGTTGGTATCTTTAAAATTAACTGAACCATAAGAAATAAGTGATCATAAGTATCAAGAACCAAAAAACATTTTTGCTTCACTTTACATTTGCGTTAACTTCTACAGCTGGTCAAATTTAGACAGAATGAGCATGGTATAACTTCTGCTACCTATTAAAGGTTAGTGGCCTCTGGTGTGGTATGGTACTCACTACCATAGGTGACTCCGTGCATTTTATCCACTGGACAAAACCCTGTCCAGTGACTGTACCTTATTCTTCAGCTAAGTATGTGTAGCCTCTAAATAGCTAACACACACAGTTTTGACCTAGGAAGATCTGACTCGATTCTGCATGTATCTGTGTGTCTCCTATGAATAAGTATGAGAAAACAAAATTAAAATCTCCGAAATAGAGAGCTTTAATTGAAATTGATACAAATTTAATATATAATTTGGTCTACAGTAAATCAACTGGTTATTAAAGTAAAATTACAAGATATGAGATCTATTATAACTATGGTCATGAATAAATGTGTGGCAAATGTTTCTGGTGAAGACAAGTCTTAGCATTTGAGATTCTCAATATGATACTGAAATATAGCCTGTGATATTTTCAAGTGTGGCCTTGTGGCAAGGATTTGGGGATTATATCAGCAATATATGCTATTTACCTTGTATTTTAAAGACATCCTCCCAAATACACTTCCTTATTATATATCACATATAAAATATAGACTCACAGACAAGCATTCATACATTCACTTTGTTTTGGAAGCCAGATGTGAACATACAGATTCCCTATGATTCATTACCCTCTCAGGACTCAGGTATGATTTCACTACCGCTGAGGCATTTTTAAAGGAATTCTTTTTTAAAGGCATTATTATTTGGTTATCTCCCTGCTTAACATTACAGCACAGATATCCATCAGAATCACTAAACACTGGCGAGGAAGAAAGAGGAGCAACTGGCCAAAGCCCACTGCTCACAGATTACGAGCTCCCCAGCCATGACAGAGTCACAGCATCCCGGCCCCTCTTTCAAGGCAGTCAGGAGGATAGCTCTAATTCCTGTCAAACTCTGCATTTCCTTTATTCCCCTCTGGAGAGACACAGACATCTAAGAATTAGAACAAATGCTGAGCCTAGCATGGCCACTGACTGACCTGCCCATGTTGCTACCTGAAATTCCTCTATAAAACTAAACCATTGAAGATGTGTCTGTAGCTGGTTCTGTACTGGTGTACAGTTGATGCTCAAGACACATGTTTTCATCCTTTCCCAGACACATTCAGTAAAGATGACAGAGAATCTCTGAGACTCACTCGGGAACCATATTTAAACCAACGTGGCTTGAAGATTGACTGCCTGCCTGCCTGACTGCATGCCTGACTGATTGATTGATTGATTGATTGATTGATTGATTGATTGATTGATTGAGATCTGGTCTCTCTATACTGCCCTGGCTGTCCTGGAATACACCATATAGACTACACTGCCCTGGAACTCACAGAGATCAACATGCTTCTGCCTCCCAAGTGTTGGGATTAAAGGCTTGTGCTACTGCACCTGACTAGCTTGGGTCTTAATTCAGAACTATTTGGAATTAAATAGTACTGCCAGGCTAACGCATACCTTAGTTAAGTAGCCTATCAATCTGGGTCTCTGAGTGCCTTCAACATTCTCCTAGGGCTGTTTGTACTTTTCCCCACTCAAAGTGGCCCGAGAAGTGACACAGAAGAAGGAATACAGGCAGGCAGGCAGTCTACTTGGCTACAGCACTGCCTATGACCCCAAAGGAAAACTAGCTTCTTCCTTAGTAGAGATGTCTTGATATTTTCGTAGCAGACTCACTTGAATCACATGACTTATGTTTAATGGCCTCTGTTTTGGAGATCAGCCTTCCCTCCCATTAGTGCAGAAACCTGAACTTAGGGCTGCGTACATCTAGCAAATGCCACTTACCACCTACCACTGATACCACAGAGCCACATTTCCAGCGCTCATTCTCTATTTCAAATAAGTCTGTTGTTTTGTTGTTTTGTTGCTGTTGTTGTTGTGGGGGGGGGGGTTCACGTTGAGGAGAACATCAGAGTCTCATGCAGCCCAAGCTAACCAGGAACTCACCACATAGCCAAAGCATTTTACATTTTCTCTACCCCCCTTCCCGCAACCCCCCACCACATCTTGCCCAGTGCTTGGGATTGCAGGTCTGTGTACCTTCACACCCAGTTTTAACTTTCTTCTTTGTGTGTGGGGGGGGAGGGAGATGGATGTAGACAAGGGTGGGAATGTAGGTTTGTGGGATGTGTTTGAGCATGAATGCATGTGTGTATAATAGCACCTCTCAGTTAGGATTACAAAATCCTATAACGGGTGTCCTTATTTGACAGGTTTGGGGGGTTTTACACATAACATTCAGCAAAACAATGAAAATAAACAGGATTTAGGAGAATTATGATAAAAGCATTCATAAAATTTACTGGAATTTACACCGTATAAACAAACCTTAATTCAATGTATGTGTACCAAAGCGTGTTTGCCAAATGACCGTTCCCCATACTCAAGGGAAAACGAATACGTGAATAGATGGAAATGAGACACCCAGAGAGCTTCATTCAGCCACATAAGACACTTATGCTAAAACTCAGTAATGCCTCAGGAAAATTAGCTATGTATGCTTCCTTTGTCGTTGAATCAATGTAAAAAGTAAACTGTTCTGTTCAAAGATGTGAGGCATTTGTATCTTCTTCTCCAAACCATGCATCCTACCTCCTTGAAGTTATCAAAAGCTGACAAAATTATTTCATGCCCGCCTCTGACAAGACAAACGGCTGCCAACAGCTCCAAGACAAGAGCTTTTGTTCTGTCAAAACAAGAAGAGGAAAGAAAAACATAAATCACAGAAGGAGACACAATCAGCTGCTCCTTCCAGGATGAACACTCAAGGAACTGAGACTGGCCTGCATCATTAAATCTTTGTCACCAAAGGGCTCCAAGCACGCGCAGACCTCACTTCGATCTGTGCTGAACGAGGGAATGTGTGTGGTGGCCAGTTTCAACTGTCAATAGTATATAGCATGACAGAATGCAGAATCAACTAGTTGGCATTTCACTTTTAGAACCACAGCCAGTAAAAATCCCCCACAATAAGTTTCTAATATTTCTGTTTCTTATGCTGGAGACCAGGAAAGGGCTGGATTACAGCTTTATTCATAGGAAAAATATTTTCTCTGACTCAAGAAAATAAAGTTGCATCTGAAATCATTTTGGAAGAAGAAGCTGGAGATGAATTCAAAGTTTGCAATTAAAATGGGAAGAAAGAAACAGCATTGTTTCTTTGTCATAAGACTACTTTAGTATTTCTTTTTTATTCTAGAATAAAAGCTACTGCCAACTTCTTAACAAAGACTGTTCTGATACTCCACAATGTCGATTGTCTTAAGAAAAATGAATGATGACTTCCCTGTGCTGGAAGATGGGAACAAGGAAGCATGCTTATTTTGGATTTTAGTAAACTACAAAAGCAATCACAAGACTAAAATATCCAATATGTATATGGGACTTACGATTTGTATTCCCTTTGAAATTAAAAGAGTCAATTTATAATCAGAGGGTTTTTTTAAAAAGAGGAATTAATAATTTCTAGATAATTCTTCCATTCTTAAAAGGGTATCTGAAGCGAGTGTTACACAATTGAAACACGGAAATTACCAGAAGACAAAATATCTTACAACAACCAAAAAGCAAATAATGAGTCAAATGATTACAATATGTGATACTGGCCATGGCTGTACATGTAAACGGAAATGATGCACACACAGTTATTTGTGTTTGTGTTTCTTTTTCAGTTCTTAAGTAAGCTACATGTGTGAAGGTAAGAGAAGATAAATAAGGGTACAGCGGGCTGCTTAGCCTTCGTGTTAGCTGGTATAGCTAAACTCTTAGCAATACTTTCTGGTCTTCAAGCCTGGAATGAATTGGCAACCTATTCCTGCCCATCAAATTTTTCAGTATAGAGTCAAAGAACCGGGCTACCCAGGGAATGAAAGGTAAAAGAAGAGTGAAGGGCAAAAGCTTCACCAGTGCTCAGCTCTGCTTCCTAGAGGAGTTTAATCAGGGAACATTCTGCACAGCCAAGGCTTTGCAGTCTAGCTTGAGGAAGTCACTCTTGGGAGATTTTTACTACTAAAATGGGTCAATGGTGACTAGCCCTCTGCTTCTCTGGGAAGCTTTAGACTTGAGATGCTTACCTGGGATTCTTGTTGTTCAAACTGAGTGCAATCTCATTGACAGCATGTGGATGAGACATGACCATGTTGAAACCATACTGAAATGCAGAGGGGAAAAGGAGAGCATTAGCAGTTAAGTTTCAGTGTCGATTAAAAACCGACCATTTGGGCTGGTGGTATGGCTCAGTGAAAGAGTCTGTCTCCCATAAGTGAGCCCCTAGATCCAGTCAGCAACACTGCCAAGACCCACTGACATTTTTGCTTCATGAAACTTTTATCTTCTAGAAAGGCAACTGAGCTCTTAGCATGCCAGTGAGAGGACATACTTCTTCCCCACCCCCAGACTCTTAAATGATGCCATCCACTGCCAAGGGTATTTTGATCATGGGCATCCTTCCTTTATTTATGAATGAACAATGTGTTTTTCATTATTAAACTAGTGAAAAGCTCTACTCTAGTGATTTGAAAATTGTATACTTATTAAATCGCTATTAAGACCAAACAAAACTAAGCCCTGGTTGAATTCCCAAGATCCACCCAGATCAGTTTCCTCTGCATATCAAAGACAAAGCCCTGAAATCTAAATTTTTCAAGCATCCAAGATGACTCCACCATGCACCTAGGGTTGACCATTCCCAGCGTTTCGCCTGCTTCCCCCACACCCATCCCCTGGTAATGGTCATTCTGACGCACACTTCCCGTCACTCATAACAACAAGCCAGTCCACATCAGGAATCTGGAGCCTGCTAAGCTGGGTAACCGCTATCACTTTGAATGCATATATAATTTTGATCTTCTTCCTCTCATGCTGAGAAAATAAATGCAATCAGTGGACAAGAGAAAAATAAGACGGGGGAGGGGGGACTTTTGAGGCTGAGGCAGAAAAACAATGTTATAGGTCAACGTGGGCCACACAGCAGGGTGTAGTTCCAAAAAACAAAGGTAAACCACAACTTTCTACAGCTCCTGGCATCAGAGGTAAACAGTTCTATGTTCCAATCGGAGGCCAGCCTCTCCATTTGAGTCCCTGACCTTACTCTCTCTCTCTCTCTCTCTCCAGCCTCTCCATTTGAGTCCCTGACCTTACTCTCTCTCTCTCTCTCTCTCTCTCTCTCTCTCTCTCTCTCTCTCTCTCTCTCTCTCTCTCTCTCTCTCTCTCTCTCTCTCTCTCTCTCTCTCTCTCTCTCTCTCTCTCTCTCTCTCCTACTCAAGAACATTATATGAGCCAGCATGGGGGCAAACAGCTGCAACCCTACTAGCACTTTGGGTGGTACAGGCAAGAGAATCAGGAGTTCAAAGCCAATCTGGTCTACCTGAGATCCTGTCTCAAAAAGACAAAAAAAAAAAATATTCTGAAAGTTCTGCATGCTTATCTGTCTTTCTCAACTAACTCATTACCATTAGAATATATATTGTGCAAGAGAACCCTCAGTTGGTACCACAACCTGTGCTCAACTGTACTCTCCCATTTTCCTGCTAGCCTTCACAGCACAGTCCCTTCAAAGACTCAAGGTCTAGCAGCCGTTTCAACCTGTGGGTCTCGACCCCTTTAGGGGTCACCTATCAGATATCCTGCATATCAGATATGTATATTATGATTCCTAACAGTAAGTAGCAAAATGACAGTTACAAAGTAGCAATGAAAATAATTTCATGGTTGGGGGTCACCGCAACATGAGGAACTACTGTATTAAAGGGTCGCAGTGTTAGGAAGCTTGGGAACCACTGACTCTAGAGTTTCCCTCTGAAAGACACTCCTATTAGGCCTTCCACCTCCCAACCCTGAAACTTCTCGTCAAAATCACCACTGATAGCATGCTTAGCTAAAGCCCCTGGCCGGGCCTCATTCATCTTACATGACTTATCAGCAGAATCAGACACAGCTTGCAGTATTTCCTCTGACTGACTGTCTTTTACCCTCTAGGCTACTTCCCAGACTTCCTTCTTGACTTTCCTCTCTCCAAGGCTTATATAGAGTGCATTGTGGCTCACATTAGGGACCTCCTCTCTACCAGTATCATGGTTTCCAATACCATTTTATGCTAATTATGTTCAAATATCTACGTCCTGCCCACACCTCCACTTCAGATAACTATTTGTATGTAAAGTCGACATCTCAATTAAAGTCTACCAAATTGACTTCCTAGTGATCTCTCTGAAACCTGCTCGTCTTGTAGTCCAGGAGACGGCAACTTCATCTTACAGGCCCCAGATGACCTCTTGGAACCACCTTGGTTACTCACCTTCTCCCTCAATGCACAACCAAATGCTGGGGCCCCTACCATCCATCCAAAGACATCCAGTACTTGTCTCATCTCTCATCCTATAATTCTGAGCCATACCACCACCAACATTCATCCAGTTACTGCCAGTAACCTCCTCCTGTCCATGTACCTACAGGCTAATGTTAGGACACACAGAAGTCCTAACAACCCCTTCAAATCAAATAACACATTATACCCTCAGAATCCCTTGCTAATTTCCTAGTTGCAACAAAGGTATGTCTTTCACGGACCTATAAATTTCTACATAATCCCTTTTATCTCTCTTTTCCTCTTCTCTTTTCCTCACTCCTCCTGCCTCAGCCAACCAGACTTCCTTTCTTGCTCCAGGCTTCACTCTGCCTAGACTCTTCTTTCTCTAATAGCCCTTGCTCTATTTGCTGAGTTCACTTACTTTTCATAATTGCTGCCTCCTTAGTGACATTCTCCTAGTGGCCAATCTAAAGCTGCATACACGTTTTTGGCATCTCTATCCTTTTCTCATTATATTTTCTGTGGTATGTAGCAATGATAATTCCCTGGGTTCAAAGTCTACCTGGATTCGAACTTTGTACAACTTATAAACCACATACTATGGAGGATATTACTTAACTTCTCAGTTTTCTCATAAGTAAAATGGGATGTGCGGTTGCATGAATTTGCAGACATAAAAGACCGGAGAAGTACAGCATGTGGATGGCTGGTTTTGGTTCTATTTGTCATCATTGTGATAGGAAATGCTATACACTACATCTGTGCAGTGCTGCCACGTTTACCCTTCTCTGGGAAGCAAGCTCTTGATACATTTCTATGGACTACAGCATTCTCAGAACTAGAAGACCATCGTCTGATGAAGCACTGAAAAGCTTTAACTGATGCAGAAAGATCAAAGCTCGCTTGCCTTCCTACATTCCACTAACACGCCAATGTTGGGTTAGCATGCTAACATGTCTCCAATATGGGAATCTAAGTTTTAAATCAAATACATTTGTTTTTATTCTTACCCCACTTGACTTATGGCCCTGTTCATTTACCCTAGATCCTTCAGACCCTGATTTTCTACTGTGTTGTAGGATTAACCAAATATACAAGGCTATATTATTTGTCAGACTGGGGTCAACTCACAGCATAACCAGCCAAAGCAAGAATGTGCACTTTTGACATTGTGGAAATTAGGAACTAACACACAATAATAACTCTAACCTCTTGATCAACCACCACATAAACTAGTGCCCCAAGTCCCTCACTAGTGATATTCTAAGGCTGTTCATTCTTACTGACAAGTACAGGCTTGCTTGCCATGGTGCTAACAAACTTTTACCAAGTAATGTGAGATAAAGTCTCACTATATGATAAATTATAATTACTACAATATGCAGCCAGGAAACTAAATATTGAGCATGAGAATGAATCACTTTTCTGAATAGAACCTCATTAAATCATGATCTTCTCTCCAAAGAGCTACACAAACACCAACACACACACACACACACACACACACACACACACACAGAGAGAGACAGAGACAGAGAGAAGAGAGAGAGAGAGAGAGAGAGAGAGAGAGAGAGAGAGAGAGAGAGAGAGAGAGAGAAACATCAGAATCTTTTAAAGGATTGAAGCAAGCACATACTTGATAATTCGACACATACCTGATAATTCATGATGGCTCGCAAACACATGATACAGACATGAACATCATCTTTCTTACTCACTAATCTTGAATTTTTCAGGGTTCTTCTGCTTGGTAAAGTGTTATATCTAAAAACCAAAGAAGGGGAACTTTCATGAAATGATGGATTACAGTAAGCATAAAACATACCCACTTAAAGAGGTTAGCATTATTTTCTACTTTTACAAATACCTAGGTAAGAAATGCAGGCTAAAAGTACCAACACCAACCACTCCAGAGGGCAAGGTCCACATGGTTCTATGATGCTATCACCATCATTCCAGGCTATATTCCCACTCAATGAAACTCACCTCTAATTACAACACATAACCAAAGAGAGTATACATGAGCAGTTGTAACAATGCCAGGTCATAGTGGGGCCAGGCTAAGTGTGAAGAAACACTTGGATACAAACTGGCACTGCTAATGTAACAGCAGGTGAGGGACGGAAATTTAGCTCAGATCTTGACCTCCAATCAAGTGACCAGATTTTAACCAATTCTTCCTGCTATTGCTCTGGAGTTGCTTTGAGAGCTTAAACCTGGGGGATGGGGTCAGTGGGAGGCATGGGAGGATGGGAGGGAGAGGGAACTGGGATTGATACATAAAATAAGATTGTTTCTAATTTAAATTTAGAAAAAAGAGTTTACACCTAGTCTAAGCAACACATTGGTAACTCTGGCTTCACCTTGACACACCAGATCCTGAATCTTCAGTTATTTACAAATGCCTCCCAAACCCTACTGATCCCCTAATATGGTAGCTAAAATTTAGAAGAAAATATGCTAAGATATCAGAGTTCAGAAGTTTCAGTGTTATGATTAATTTTATCAGCTCTACATCATTGGACTTTTCTATAAGCTTGCAAGTAGTACAGGACAGACAATGTAATTTATGGCATATAAAGTACACAACACTAAAAGCTACAGTTGAAGTTTGCCTCAGAGCAGAAGCACAGGAACAGTCATCTCTGTAACCACAAACCTACATTAAAAATTTTTTTTCGTTCTGCCCTCTCTTCTCTCTCTCTCTCTCTCTCTCTCTCTCTCTCTCTCTCTCTCTCTCTCTCTCTCTCTCTCTCTCTCTGTCATGTCTGTCTCCCCCCTTTCAGTCTCGCTATAATAAACTATGATTAAAATGCTAAATTTTTTTTCAATTTTGTAACTGAGTGGGAGTCGGTAGGAGTATGAAGGTAAAAAGGGAATACCATGGTGGAAATACATAAGAGGGGGTAGGCATCAATCCAGAGTCAGGATGTATGACAAAGCCATAAGGAAACCTGTTACTTTGTAAGATAATTTTTTAAAAAATTATTTTACATTTGAAAGATGGTTTCCATACATGTGAGGAAAGCAAGCATAGGAATCAATTTAGTAACCCAGGACCCTACATGGTTAGGCTGCGCAGACACCACCTCTCGCTGAATGATGAACTTTGTCAACCCAGGACCCCAACCTCTATCAAGCTGCAACTGTAACTACTTTAAATGATGGGAATAAGTTACTGTCCTTACCAACTCCTCCACAATGCCTTATTTCTATTTGGAACTGCAAGGCCAATTTCAGTGTGTACAGTACAATTTACAATCATGTTACTTTGCCATAACTCCAGTAAGTGTATATGACTGCTGACACTTCCTGGAGGTCCAACAGAAACTGGGTCAGTTCAGAGAATCGCCTCACAGTCAAGCTGACCTAAGTACATATGATCATCTCAGTCTACACTGACGTTCTACACTACTATACACCAAGTAACTGTGACAGGTAGGAGCAAGGAAGAACCTGAAATACATTTTTCTGAATCAACTTTTAAAATATGTCTATTATGGCATATAATTAATATTTAAAGAGGTATGGGAATATAGCTCAGTGGTAGAGTACTTGCTTAGCATGAAATGACAGACTTTGGAGATTCCCCCCAAGGAGGGCCTCACCCTCTCCTGGGGAATAATGTGGGGATGGGGTTGGGGGCTGGTGGAGGGACAAGGGAGGAGGGGTGGGAGAGGGAGCTGGGATTGACATATAAAGCATTCGTGTTTCTAATTTAAATAAAAACATATATTGAGGGGGAAAAAACCTCAGTTAAAAACTTATTCCTGGCATTGAAATATCAACCTGGCAGTCAATAAGGTGCAATAGAGTAACAGTTTACCCAGAGGAAGAATAAAAGTAATTGATTAGTATCAAGAAATTGCCAAATGTATGATTCATATTGATTCACTAAATTTTCAAACAGCAGCAGGCACAGTGGCACACACATAATCTCAGGAAACCGAGGCAAGAGAACAGCGTTTCCAAAGTTAGCTTTGGTTTTATATCAACACCCTACCTCATTAAAAAAATAAAGGGCCTCCATCCAGTGACAGACAGAAGCAGAGGCAGACACCCACAGCTAAACACTGAACTGAACTCCTGGAACCCAGTGACAGAGAGGGAGGAGTGATGAGCAAAGGGGTCAAGACCAGGCTGGTGAAACCCACAGAAACAGCTGACCTGAACAAGGGGGAGCTCATGGACCCCAGACTGGTGACTGAGAGGCCAGCATGGGACTGATCCAGACCCCCTGAATGTGGTCTCAGTGAGGAGACCTAGGTAATCTATGGGGCTTTGGGTAGTAGGTCAGTATTTATCTTTGGCACACAAATGGACTTTGGGTGCCCATCCTACAATGAGGGATGCTCTCTCAATCTGGACACTTGTGGGAGGGCTTGGGCCCTCCCCGGAACAAAATGACAGACTCTAGAGATCCCCCATGTAGGGCCTTACCCTCCCTGGGGAATGGAGTGGGGATTGGGTGGGGGGCTTGGGGAGCTAGTGGTAGGGGAGTAGGCATGGAGGAGAGAGAGAGGTAACTGGGATTGACATGGGAAGCAAGCTTGTTTCTAATTTAAATATATAATAAAATAGTGTTTAAAAAAATAAATGGATCGGGGAGGGGTAGAAACAGAGGCCAATTTATAAGAAACCAGTCATAACAACCAAGTTATGCTATATTGTAATCATGGGCTATACTGTAATCATGGCAGTACAATGCAATTCAATACTGTCTTTGGAAGAACAGATAGTCCAACCTACCTCTGGTTCCAAGTCATGGCCTTCCAAGCTGAGCTACCCTCTCACACAAGTAGCATTGATCTTATATTGCTCATAAGAATAAACCTCACACAGACTGAGTTTAGAGATTAAGTGGGCAGCTGGGGAAGAGGCCTGTGTGCTGCTGTGGTAAACCACTATTTCATCTTGCTAATTATGCTATAGAAATATCTACAGTGAAACTGACTGCTAGGGTACTGTGCTCCTGAAGGTACCATGAAACTTCAGAGATCTGAGCAGAACTCACTTGGAGAGTATCCCCCAATTCACGGCAGTTATTTACAAAACACCCCAACACGATGAGACATCAGATCAGCCATGGCCTCCCGTGCGTAACCAGGCAAATGAGCTTTATGTGGTATATGCAATATGCAATTACGTATAATATGTAATACGCCTCTGCCAACAGTTAGTGGCGTATATGCCCCTCCATGGCATTTGAAATCAGTTTCTGTGAGAAGTTGTTATACTGCGGCTTCTCTTCTTACCAGTACACAGCCTGAACTTAGCAGAGACAATGGGGAAGGGAGCATCTCCTGGTCTATTTTGTCCCCTCAGGAGACTGCCAAGCTGCAGTGGGAGAAGGGAGGGAGGCATGGGAGTCTGGCAGGGTAAAATGGCACAAAACTTCCTGAACAGAGGCTCCATTGTCGTTCTGTGCACAGCGGTTTCCCAGATTGCTCAAATTTTTACTTTGGGCATTCTGAAAAGCTTCGTTCTGTGCACTTTTGCCTTTCTCTGGGAGGAGCATCTTCGTGGGCTTTGTGCAACAGGCGTTTAGACACCACTGTCTGTCTGTCTGTCTGTCTGTCTGCCTGTCTGTCCGTCCATCTGTCTGTGCTGAAGTATAACCAAGTATTTAGTCTGCGGGAGTAGGATGCAGTCCTGAGACATACAAACTGGGAACAGCAAGGCACAAGACACCACATACCCTGGACCACGAGGGGAGTATCTGCTGCCACTCTGACAGCCTTTCAGCCTCAAGATGCCCATGTGCAAACTACAAGTACCCCAGAAGGAGAACAGCCTGGCCACTTTCTTGGAGCTCCTGCCATTTGTGTGGAAACACAGGAAAGGTTAGAGATAATTCTATAGAGAAAAATATCACGTTTCTCACGCATCACTTTTGAGGACTGTTTTGCTATCTTCCCAAGCACTGAACTACAACTGTAGAAACTACCCCAGCAATGAAGAGGAACTTCTGTTTTGGGAAAGCTGCCAGTAAGAATTCACAGACAAGCGTACACAAATACAGAAACAAATTATTATAAAACTGACTCAAGATCAGAACCAAACAGAAGGTGGGTATGGGGCTTGGAGTCATAATCACAGCAGAAGGAAAGCAGAGTCAGGAGGATTCAGAATTCAGTGTATCCTGGGCTACACAAAACCCTGCCTCTTAACAAAACCATACACACATAGAAAACTGGGCCAGCAATAAAGCTACACACACCTGACAACTTGAGCTAAATTCCTCAGAATTCAAGAGAAAATGAAACACTGTCACAAAGTTGTCTTCTGGCCTACACACACACACCAAACATGCACACAACAATAAAGTTTAAACTTCATTTCTGACACCTGCATCCATTGCATACATATCTTACCAAGCATCAGTAGTTACATATGTGTGAGAAGCTCTACAGCAATGCTAACATGGGCAGGAGACATAAAAACTAAGTAGTACTTATAAATATACTTTGCAAGACCAATGCAGAATGTGTATTGTTAAGTACTACAGTGATTCTCACCATCTGCACCACCTACTTCACTCATGACAATGAATCTGGAAAGGGCACCTAGCAAGCACCTCAACCTGCACAGCTGGTTCCTGTGGTTAGGAATATACGCATAGTAAAAAAAAAAATCACAGTAGGTAATGAACTTGAAAATAAGCAACAAGTAGCATGTCTATGATGACCCTGAGTACAAGAGAAAGCCTCCACTCCAAAGACAAAGCTCAATGGCAGATACCGCCTTTGCTCAGACAGCTGTAT